AAGTTTAAAAAAGCAGAACCAGAATAAAAAGTAAAAGTACAGAAGAGATTTATAAACATTTTAAAGAGTTTTAAAGAAGTTAAAAACAGATCCATTCATTTTAAAACATGACAGAAAAAGCTCAAAACATCTAAAAGTATCAGTTACTGAAGCAGCAGAAGCTGAAACACAGGATCCTGAAGGAGATGAATTTTTGAAATATAGGTTGTTGAAAAAGCACACGTACCAAAAAACATAAAGAAAAAAGATTTTAATTGTGTGAATGCTTTAGAAACATTAATCTAAACACATTGTTTAAAGGACAAAAAATTTAGCAAAAATTAGCTACATTATAGCTAAAATCCAAATGCAGCAAAACAGAACTAAATGTAGCAAAAGCTAAAAGCTAAAATTAGACACTTACAGCAAAAATTAAGACATTAGATAAAAGTTGATGTTAGTAAGAAAAGATTGAGTTCCGAATTCACAGAATAATATTTTTAAAGTTTTTAATGGATAACATAAACTTTAGAAAAGCTAAAAGTCAAAACTTGCTGTTTTTTTTATCAAGTTGAATGTTTTATTGTTTGAATAAAATAGTTTTRTTGAATAAGAAACATGAAGTAACTGATAATCAGGACCATATTTGTGTCGTTCACTGCAGCAGGAAGTCAGCTGTCATCATTTCTGACTTCTTTTTCTTTCTTTCCTCTTCTCTCCGTTCTTCATCCTCTGTTCCACTAATCCTCAGCTCCTCCTGGTATCAGGAGCAGTGAGCGCTCAGCGTGACGGAAACAGTTCATCACAACTCTTTACTCTGAACGTTATCAAAGCCGACGCTCATGAAATGTAATTCCATCGACCGTTTTCGTCCGTTTCTCAGAGAACTTTAGAATTTCAGAGACGAGACGAGGAAGTCGGATTGTTTTTGTTGGAACTCTGCCAGGACAACTTGTACGTCTGCTAAACTTCATTACTGAGACGAGGAGCGCATTTCATTAACTGAAACAATATTTTAATGTTTTTATCCCTCCAAGCCATACAGCTGATTTCCCTCCTCCTTCACTTTTTAATACCCAGACTTAAAAAAACATCACAGTGACTGCTTTAATCATCTGTGGTTGTTTGTAGAATATATTTGTATGGCAGTTTATTTTAYTCTATTGTATTTTATTTTACAACAGTAAACTCCATCATGAAGATGTGAGAATAAACAATCATGTTCCTGACTCACTCGTCTGTGTACCTAATAAGCATATTTTCAGTTTTTAAACATGATTTTACACAGAGAAGCTAATAAAACTGGACATTTAGCTGAGAGGTGAAAACTTATTTTACTTTATTTGTTTTTTTATTAACACAAACTGAAAATATAAAAACTGAAAACTAACAGTTTTGTCCAGAGTCGAACAGGAAAAATGTTCCTTATAATAAACAGCAGTTTGCATGAAGTCAGTGGGAGGTTCTTGTTGTGTGGGAGGAGTTTATCCAAGACATGATTGGTCAGATTGACTATGTGGGCGGGGTTTGAAGAACTAAAATGATTATTACATATATTATTAGATATTATAAGATTTTTTTCTTGTTTTAGCTGCCTTTCATTTTATTTTATTAGTCATTTGTATTTTTTATTGTGTATAAAATTAGC